AAAGTATTCATTCACAAAAGTTTTCATATTTCACATTGCGCTTGATCATAACTAGTAGATGACCCCTAATGATATTTTGGTCACTAGGTCAAAGGTCAAGGTCACGGGCTTTAATTGTCAGAATGGTTTCTGCTCATTATCTTAGTTACAATTCATCACAAAGTCTTCATATTTGACATATTGATTGTTCATAACTAGAAGATGACCCCCATTAATTTTGGGGTCACAAGGTCAAAGGTCAAGGTCACAGGGGCCTTGAATGAAATTTTGATTTTCACTTATTATCTTTGTTACTATTTATCGCAAAGTCTTTATATTTCACATATTGATTGGTCATAACTAGTTGATGACCCGTATTGATTTTGGGGTCACCAGGTCAAAGGTCAAGGTCTCAGGGTCCTTGAATGGTAGTATGATTTCGGCTCATTATCTTGAAAGATAATTATCACAAAGTCTTCATATTATATTTCACATAGTGATTGGTCATAACCAGCAGATGACCCATATTGCTTTTGGTGTCATTAGTTCAAAGGTCACGGTCACAGGGGCCTGAAATGTCAGAATGGTTTCCGCTTATTATCTTGAAAAGTATATATCACAAAGTCTTCATATTTCACATACTGATTGGTCATAACTAGTATGTAACCCCTTATGATTTTGGGGTCACTAGGTCAAGGTCAAGGTCACAGTGTTCTTTAATGGAAGTATGGTTTCCGCTTATTATCTTAAAAGCTATTTAACACAAAGTCTTCATATTTATAATATTGATTGGTCATATCTATTAGATGACCCGTATTGATTTTGGGTCACTGGTTCAAAGGTCAAGCTCACATGGGCCTTAGATGTCACAATGGTTTCTGCTCATTATCTTGAAAACTATGTATCACCAAGTCTTCATTTATTTTCTTTTTTTTCCATAATTGAACTCTTCCATGTACCCATTTATGGCAAGTTTCTATAACAACATTACCAATAATGTGGGTCAAGGGTTAGAAAGGGGGACATATGTGTCGTTCGACATTTCTTTTTTATAACAAATTGCATTTATGTGTATATATAATGGCCTGCCTTTTAGGTAATTTTGTTATAATAAGTAACTTGTATCCCATCATTTGCTGTAAAGCACTCATTTGGAAAACTTATTTTTTATGCCCCCGCCATATAATGGCTGGAGCATATAGTGTTACCCTGTTCCATCATTCTGTCCTCTTGTCATTCTGTCATTCCGTCATCATCAGTTTCTGTTCATTATCTTAGTAATGGTTGCACACATTCAACTCAAATTTGGCATATGGATATGTCATGAGAAAATACAGGTCAATTCAAATTTGGTCATGGTTTGATGATTTTTGGCAGAGTTATGCCCCTTTTACTTTGAAAATAATATGAAATTTTCGGTTTCCATTCATTTAATATCTCCCCAACGGTATTACGCATTTAACTCAAACTTGACATATGGATATGTCATCAAAAAATACAGGTCAAGTTCAAATTTGGTCATGGTTTAATGATTCTTGGCAGAGTTATGCCCCTTTTACTTTGAAAATAATATGAAATTTTCAGTTTCCATTCATTATCTCCCTAACGGTATTACACATTCAACTCAAATTTGACATATGGATATGTTAAAGGAATGCGCAGGTCAAGTTCAAATTTGGCCATGGTTCGATGATTTTTGGCAGAGTTATGTCCCTTTCACTTTGAAAATAGTATGAAATTTTCAGTTCCCATTCATTATCTCCTCTAAAGTATTACACATTCAACTTAAATTTGACATATGGGTTCATCAAAGAAATATGCAGGTCAAGTTCAAATTGTGTCATGGTTCGATGATTTTTGGCAGAGTTATGCCCCTTTAACTTTGAAAAAAAAAGGAAATTTTCAGTTCCCATTCATTATCTGCACAACAGTTTTACATATTCAACTCAAATTAAAGATATGGATATGTCATAAGAATGCATTGGTCAATTTCCAATTTAGTCATGGTTTGATGATAGCTGACATAGTTATCCCTCTTGAACCTTGAAAAAAAATCAGAAATTTTAAGTTTCAGTTCATTTGCTCCCCAATGGAAAATGTACACATTCAACTCAAATTTGACATACAGATACATCTTAGGAATAAGCAGTTCAAGTTTGAATTTGGTCGTGGTTCAATGATTTGGGACAAAGTTGTCTCCCTTGAATTTTGGAAAAATTTTGAATTTTCAGTTTCAGCACTCATACTTTTGTTGAAATGTATGTAGCCATTAATTTGGCTAGAAATATGCAATATGCAATTTACAAAAGGTTAACACTGAATAGTTTCAGTGCCTTTAACTTTGTTTAAAAATGGTTTGTGTTAACATTGAATAATTTAAGGGCTTTGAACTTTAAATGAAAAACATAATTTGTGCAAACAAATTTGGAACTAAATATTATAACATCTGAAATTTTGGTTGCATGCGGGGGCTTCCGTGGCGTGACAACAATTTCTAGTTTACACTGATTTATATTGATAGTATAGTAAATGATGATGTAGATATTGGATATGTTTTGATTATTACTTGATTACAAGAAATCAAAGTGATAAAGTTTCAGTTCTCAGATATCACAAATTTATACATGACACAGACAAATACTCATAAATTTACTTTATAGAATGCGCAATTTACATTTCAGACTGAATGTCTAGTGGTGTTGACTTCTAAGGACTTAAACCTTGATAAAGGTAATTTGTCAAAAAAGGTTTTGAAAGAAGGTGGTCCTGATTTGGCAAAAGAAATAAGAAGCAAGTTTAAGGGGATAACATTAGGAAACGGAACATTTATTTCAACAAGCCCAGGAAACCTTAAGCACAAAGGAGTGAAAAGGCTAATATTTGGTCATTTACCAAAGTGGTATAACCATACAGTGAGATTGAAGGTAATTTGTTAAAAATATTGATAATATAATTATTGGATGTAACACACTTGATCTGTTTTGTAGAAACTAACTTATACATAATTAAGTTTACTGTCATTGATTGAATCATAGAGGGTCTTATTTAATGAGCAATGTATGCATTAGACCTCACTTTGGATTGATGTTGCTCCCCCCAGAGTCACTACTACAAATAGATAAAAAGTTTCTGATCAGTAAGTAGAGTCAGAAATAAGGTTTTTGTAATCAAACTTGGTATATGGCTAATAATATGGCAAGCTTATTAGCTCACCTAAGCTTGCTCAGGGTGAGCTTCTAGGATCATTGAATGTCAGTCGTCGGTCCACATTAATTTAGTTCGTTAACACTCTAGTGGTCACATTTTTGCCTCAATCATCATCAAACTTTGTCAGGATGCTTGTCTAGGTACTGCTCGGATGAGTTCGAACATGGGTCATCTCAGATGAAAGAGTAGGTCACAGGAGCTAAAAAAAGGAAAATCTTGTTAACACTCTAGTGGCTACTGTTTTGATCCAAATATCGCTGAAATTGGTCGGAAAGTTGGTTTTGATGATTTCTAGGTCAAGTTGGAATATCAGTAACCTTAGGTAAAAAACAAGGTCACACCACCCAAATATGGAAAAACCTTGTTAACACTCTAGGGTCACATTTTTCACTCATCATCATCACTTTTGTGTCAGGATTCTTGTCATAGGTAATTGCTTGAATGAGTTCAAACATGGGTCATCTCGGATGAAAAACTAGGTCAAAGGAGCAAAAAATAGAAAAATCTTGTTAACATTCTAGTTGCTACTTTTTTGATCCAAATATCCCCGAAATTGGTCCCAAAGTTGGTTGTGAAGATTTCTAGGTCAAGTTCAAATATGGGTCACCTGGGGTCAAAAACAATGTCACACCGCCAAAATATGGAAAAACCTTGTTAATACTCTAGTGGTCACATTTTTGACTCAATCATCATTAATCTTGATCAGGATGCTTGTCTAGGTAATTGCTCGAATGAGTTCAAATGTGGTCATCTTGGATGGAAAACTAGGTCACAGGAGCTAAAAATAGAAAAAATCCTGTTAACACTCTAGTGGCTACTGTTTTGATCCAGGTATCCTGGAAATTGGCCTGAAAGTTTGTTTTGATGATTTTTATTTCAAGTTTGAATATGGGTCACCTGAGGTCAAAAACTAGGTTAAACTGCTCAAATATGGAAAAAACCTTTTAACACTCTAGAGGTCACATTTTTGCCTCAATCATCATCAACTTGTCATGATGTTTGTCTAGGTAATTGCTTGAATGAGTTCGTGCATAAGTCATTTCAGATGAAAAAATAAGGTCACAGGAGCTAGAAATAGAAAAATCTTGTTAACAGTAGCTGTTTTGATCCAAATACCCAAATCAAATCAAACTTTATTTATTGTCAGTATATATATTTCACAAAACGTAAGCTATGTATAGCTTTTGACCAACATACATGCATATAAACATAAAACTAGACATAAAAGAAGCACATTATGATAATCTTTGAAAGACAAATGGTAAAATAAGTTAAATTATTCGTAATACTATAATGTGGTATGTAGACACTACATGTAATACATGTAATAGTTTTAAAGTTAATTAATAATAAATAATATTAACATGCTAGAGATAACATTTAAATTACTGTAATATAAGTGAATAAAATAATATATATCTAGATAAAAATGCTGAACACATTAGCTCATACATAAAATAGAATTAAATTAAAATTTGAGTGGAGACTGCTGATCTTGACCCAGGCCTAAGGACTGTTATAAAAGAAAGAAAATAAGATACTGAAAATGAAAAGGATCCCAAAAGTGTGATCACTAAAAAGGTTTGTTTTTTTAAAAAAAACAAAAAAATAAAATAAAATCCCCAAATCAGATTTGGCAGCTTCCTCACAAGCTGGCAATAAGCAAACAAAATTCAAGCACACTGGAAAAACAATACATGTACATAAACATTTATGTTGAGAGTATTAACAAAATTGAAGCCAAATGTGAACCAAGAAACAAGATAGGTATTTAAAGGAAAACGAAAACAAAAAAAGCAAGCAGGAAACAAAGCTGAAGATGAAACTAAACTATAATGCAAGCTTATTGACAGAAAGTACATGAGCAACTCTCTCCTTTCCATGCACCAATTAAACTTTTGAATTGGTCATAATTCACTTCCCGATTGTGATGTAGGGGAAATGAATTCCATAGTTTTGGTGCATAGGAACGAAAAGAGCTGCTGCCATAACTGGTGGTTCTTATCTGAGGGATAATGGCTACATTTTTATTCCTTAAATTAAAAGAATGAGTTTTTATATTAACAAGATCATGTAAGTATGTTGGTCCTTGTTTATGAATGATTTTATGAATTTCGAGTGCTATAGTTCTGATTCTTCTTAATTTTAAATTTGGTAGCTTAGATTGTATTAAAAGTGAATCATAGTCTGATTGATAGTCATCGTAAATGAATCTTAATGCTCTTTCTTGAATTTTCTCTAGTTTTTAGCTCGACTTTTCTATGAAAAGGGGAGCTATCCTACTCGCCCCGGCGTCGGCGTCGGCGTCGGCGTTGGCGTCACACCTTGGTTAAGTTTTTCGTACCACCCCACTTTATTTCAGAAGTATTACAAGTATGGCTTTGAAACTTACCATACTTGTTCACCATCATAACCTCCATCTACAGACAAGAGTACATAACTCTGTCAAGGTTTTTTGACAGAATTATGGCCTTTTTTGACTTAAGAAAAGTGTATTGAGCTTGGTTAAGTTTTTGTACCACCTCACTTTATTTTCAAAACCATTGGAGGTATTGCTTGAAACTGACCATACTTGTTTTACCATCACGACTTCATCAACAGACAAGAGGACATAAACTCTGTCAATAGGTTTTTGACAGAATTATGCCCCTTTTTGACTTAGAAAATACATTGAATATGGGTAAAATCCACTTATTGCCTTAACCCTTTGAGATATTGCTTTGAAACTTTTAATGCTATTTCACATCATTACCCCCATCTGTACGCAAGAGAAGGTAACTCTGTCAAGGATTTGTTTTAAAAAATTAAGGCCTTTTATCGACTTAGAATCTTGGTTAAGTTTTAGTACCAGTCCACTTTTTGACTGAACTGTTTGAGATATTAATTTGAAGTTGGAAATACTTGTTTACAATCATGATTCCCAAACATGTCCAGGAGAAGGTAATTCTGTCAAAGATTTTATTTGAATTATGGCCCTTAACTGTCAATGTTTTGTATTATAGGCAAGCACTAAAAAACTAAAAATACAGAGATTCTTGTATTGCCTTTTACTGCAAAAACTTTTTTTATTGGCAAGCAATAAAAAAGTCGAGCGCGCTGTCTTACGGACAGCTCTTGTTAGCTATACTTTTAGGATCGTTGAATGTCAGCCGTCTGTCCACACTAGTCTTGTTCGTTAACACTCTAGAAGTCACATTTTTGACTCAATCATCATAAAACTATGTCAGGATGCTTGTCTAGGTAATAGCGCGGATGAGTTCGAACATGGGTCATCTCAGATGAAAAACTAGGTCAAAGGAGCATAAAATAGAAAAATCTTGTTAACACTCTAGAGTAGTGGCTACTGTTTTGATTCAAATATCCCTGAAATTGGTCTGAAAGTTGATTTTGATGATTTCTAGGCAAGTTTGAATATGTGTCACCTAGGGTAAAAAACTAGGTCACTTTGCCAAATATGGTAAAACCTTGTTAACACTCTAGAGGTCACAATTTTGCCTCAATCATCATTATACTTTTTTCAGGATGCTTGTTCTAGGTAATTGCTTGGATTAAGTTGGAACATGGGTCATCTCAGAAAAAAAAACTAGATCACAGGACTTCAAAAATTTAGAAAAAGTTGTTCAACACTCTTCTTGGCTAACTGCTTTGATCCAAAATATCCTTGAAATTGGCAAAGTTTGTTTTGATGATTTCTAGGTGAAGTTTGAATATGTGGTCAGGACCTGGGGTCAAAAAACTATGTCACACTGGCCTCAAATATGGAAAAAACCTTTTAACACTCTAGGTAACATTTTGACTCAACTGGTCATGAAAAATTTGGGGCCAGTATATGGCTTTATCTAGGGTAATTGCTCCGGATGAGTTTGATGGGTCAGGTGAGCGATCTAGGGCCATCTTGGAGTTCTCTTTGGAGTTCTTTTGTACCTTCTTTACCAGGCTTTCTAGTTTAATAATCATAGTTTTTAGATTGAGGAATGATGGGCTGACAGACAGGCAGTTGGGTATCAAACAAGTGGTTTCCTTTCAATAATAAGATGATGATAATATTGCAATCAGTCTTGGTATATAGAGAATTTGATATGTGAAGACATTGAATAGGACTGCTTTTTGACTCCCTAAGTTCAAGGTTAATGTAACTTAAATTAGAAAAATGATTTTTGGTCAATTACAGTTACAAATGAGATATTGAAAGTTGGCTCCTGGAGAGACCTCTCTTGGGATTGCTTTTGGGTCACTTAGTGTCAAGGTCATTGTTACTTAAAAAAGGAAGAAAAATAGTTTCTGGTTGACTACTAGAGTTATGAATAAGATATTATCAAATTTGGTATATAGAAAGTTAATATACAGACCTTGCTTAAAAATTGGATCCCCTAAGGTAAAGGTCCATGTCAGTTCTACTAAACATAGAAAACTATTTTCTATAGTTAGGAGTGAGACAATGTTATCAGACTTAGTATATATTGGAAATTTATGTGGAGCCCTTGCTTGGAATTTCTTTTAAGTCCCGTAGGGTCAAGATCAAGATCACTGTTACTTAAAAGAAGCTTATATAGCTCCAATGTCTCTTTTTAAGGTTAAATTTTAAAAAGTTGGTCTTGTTTTCTTCTTTAACCATAACTATGTCATTTATTGAATGATGTTGAAATATTGGTCAGTAATGTTTAACATATATTATGTTATCCATGACCCATATTTGTTGATTCAAAGCCCAGGTCATGCTTCATGTATAAGATCAAGGGTTTTATTTTGTGTTACTTAATGGGATTTTGAAATTATCAGTAGTGTTACATGATTTTGATATATGGTTATAATAATATATTGTAGGTTTTGCAGCAGTTTGTTGAAGGCTGTCTGATAGAAGCTGATGAACAGGATTGTAAGTCAATTGCTTTCCCTGCACTTGGTACTGGTAATTTAGAATATCCTCCAAGAGATGTAGCTACTGCAATGTTAGATGGAATTGAGAGTTATACTGAAGAATCCATGATTGCAAAACTTAAAACTGTGTATATCACTACAACAGATGATGCAATGTTTCAGGTATTTCTGAAATTATAATGTATTTTTTATCAAGTTTCAAGAGTTTATTAAAAATAAAATGTAGATTTATTTTTGGAGAGTGTTTTTTTCTATGTCAGACCCTAATTGTTATTGCACTTGATGATTTCAATACCTGTGTTATATTTCCTTTATTATACCCCCCACCACAAAATGTGGGGGGGGGGGGCTATAGTGGATTCGCTTTGCCGCGTCCGTCGGTCGGTCCATCTCCATTTTCGTGTCCGCTTTATAAATCCTATACCAATTGAAGGATTTTCTTCAAACTTAGCTCAAATGTCACCTCAACAAGGGGATGTGCAGAACCCATGTTGCCCATGGGTCAGCTCAAGGTCAAGGTCACAATTGAAGGGTAAATATCAAACAATCAAATATTAGACAGTATGTTGTGTCCGCTCAGTAACTCCTACACTTACTGAAAGATTTTCTTCAAACTTGGCTCAAATGTTCACCTCAACAAGGGGATGTGCAGAACCCATGTTGCCCATGTGTCAGCTCAAGGTCAAGGTCACACTTAAAGGTCAAATATCAAATAATGAAATATTAGACAGTATGTTGTGTCAGCTCTGTAACTCCTACACTAATTGAAAGATTTTCTTCAATCTTTGCTCAAATGTTCACCTCAACAAGGTTATGTACAGAACCCATTTTACCCTTTTGCGGGCTTAAGGTCAAGGTCACACTTGAAGGTCAAAAATTGACTTAGAAAATGTTCTCAAATTTTAACATGTATTTGAATATTTCTGAAACTAGAAAAGGTATTTGCTTGAAACTTAAAATATATATGAAGTGTCACAATTAAGATATGCAGGTCAAGTTTCATAACTCTGTATTGCATTTTAACAAAGTTATGCCCCTTTTTAAGTCTTCAAATTTACATTAATCAAATATTAAACAATATGTCGTGTCCGCTCTATAAATCCTATACTAACGGAAAAATTTTCTTCACTCAAATGTTCACCTCAACAAGGTTATGTGCAGAATCCATATCACCTTTGTGCTGGCTAAAGGTCAAGGTCACACTAGAAGGTCAAAAATTGACTTAGAAAATTTTCTTAGATTTTAACATGTACTTGAATATTTCTGAAACTAGAAAAGGTATTTGTTTGAAACTTAAACTATATATGAAGTGTCACAATTAAGATATGCAGGTCAAGTTTCATAAATCTGTATTGAATTTTAACAAAGTTATGCCCCTTTTTAAGTCTTCAAATTTACATACAATCAATACTAGACAATATGTAATGTCTGCTCTATAAATTCTATACTAATAAAAGGATTTTCTTCAAACTTTACTCAAATGTTCACCCCACTTGGGTAATATGCAGAACCCATCTTTCCCTTGTGCCAGCTTAAGGTCATGGCCACACTTGAAGGTCAAAAATTGACTTAAAAAATGTCTAGTACATTGGGAAAATGAAAGGTTATATGTAACTGTTTCGAACATGATTTGACAATATATATTTATACTAATACCTGTACAATTAGTCTTTTTTTCACCAGAGATAATTACTTTTTATGTATATATATTTGTGCCACTAAAGTATTGTCTTAACCACCTTTCCAAGTCTGTCAAGGACATTGGTGGGGGTATGAATCGCATTCAGCGATAGTTCTAGTTTGTTAAAGTCAAAATTATTTCAAAGTTGAAAACAGTTTTTTGTAAGTCACTTAAGTTGCATTCAATTCCTTTCATTTTGATTACAAAAAATATGACTGCCCCTTCAAGCAAAGTGCATTGACCTTGGATCTGTAAACTTTGAAGTAGATTGATAGTTCTATCTGTCAAACCCATTCTCTGGTAAAAGGTCAAAAGAGCCTTTTTATACGCCCGTTTGAAAAACGGGACGTATTACGGGAACGCCCCTGGCGGGCGGGCGGTCGGGCGGGGGCGGCGTCCAATTTTGTCCGGAGCATATCTCCTACATGTATGGAGGGATTTTAATGAAACTTCATAGAAATGTTCACCACTATGAGAGGCAGGTCACTAAAGATGGTGAAATATCCAGATTTTGTCTGGAGCATATCTCCTACATGTATGGAAGAATTTTTATAATACTTTATGGAAATGTTCACCACCATGATATGTATTGCTCCATGCATGATCCAGGTCAGGTCAAAGGTCAAGGTCACACTTAGAGCTCATTGAAAAACGCTTGTCCGGAGCAAAACTTCTACATTCATAGGGGGATTTCAATATAACTTGGCACAAATGTTCACCATTGTGAGGCTGAGTGTCGCACGCAAAATTCAGATCCCTGCGACCAAAGTCAAGGTTACACATAGAGGTCAAAGTTCAGATAAAAATTTGAAGATGTGTATAGGGACCATTTAGTCATCATTTATTGATGGATTGTAGCACAAATGGTAACTATCATGACTACAGGTGTGACACATTTAATTTATGTTAATATTTGCAAGGTCAAGGTCACTGGAGATGATTAGATATCCAGAATGATGTTGTCCGGAGCATATTTTCTACATGCGAGGCTGAGTGCCGTGCATAAAATTCAGGTCCCTGCGACCAAGGTCAAGGTCACACATCCTGTGCATATCTTCCCTACTGATTTGTTTTAAGGTTCATTTAACAACACAGTGCCAAGAATAAAAACTTGCTTGCTAGATAACACTTATCCATAATGCCCCCATCTCCATCTAAAGCTTTCGTAAACGGGCGTATTTTGTGACTATGGCACCCTTGTTTACTTTTTTTTGGGATTATATTTTGTTAATTGTCAATAATTTTAATTTTGACTCTGAAACTTGATATGTTGTTGCATCTTAATCAAATATAAAGGTCTTTCAAAATATCTCTTGATGTAGAAAACATGCAGTTCATAAATATCTCTTACAAAAGTGGAGTGTGCTGCTTCTGTTGTTTTCTTATGCTTCATTTTACTATGATTATCAAATAAAGAAGCAAATATATATAAATCCTTCTGGTCTGCTTTGTTTTGCAGATCCTGGGTATGGAACAAAAGAACAGAGGTGACCAAAATACTAGAGGTGATGGGGACATAGCAAGTAATACAGCCTTTCGGTTTTTTTTCTGATCAAATCAATGATCAAATTATAACTTGAGGTGAAGGTCAAGCTAATACTCAAACTTAGACCAGAAGAAAACAATATTTGATTTGATTCTAAGAATTTCAATACAGTCCTGTCAGAATTTGTTTTGCAGAACTACATTCTGCATTTGAATACATAATTTAAGTAATAGAAAGAGCATCAAAACACGAGGCTAGCTGATTTGTACAAGGGGGCGTAGCCCATGAGTATAATGAAATCAGACTGCTTAGTGTTTTGATGTTGTTTCTCTTTTGTATCATTGTCAAAAATAAAAACAAGTTCCCTGGTGTCACAGTATGAAACCCCAGAAAAAAAGTAACCAATGAGCAAGCATCTGAATATGATTTTTCTATGGCTATCCCTTTTCTGTTGTCAGTATTATGTAAACCCCAGACAAAATGAACCAATCAATGTGCATGCTTTGGAGTGCGGATAACTGATACCTGTACTCCAGTTACCGCACTGTGCATGAATATTTATACGATTTAACTCTTGACACAATTGAATAGATAATGTTATGCATGTATCATCTATCGTTATTGAATATAATTTACTTCCTGTCATTTCGTCACCTTAGTGCAATAACTGATCACCTGCTATTAAAGTACTTTTTAGCTCACCTGACCACGAAGTGGTCATGGTGAGGTATAGTGATGGGGCTATGTCCGGCGTCCGTCGTCGTGCGTTGTGCGTCGTGCATCGTGCGTTGTGCGTCGTTCGTCGTCAACAATTGGGTTGTTAACAGTCTAGCAGTCACAGTTTTGATTGGATCATCATCAAACTTTGTCAGAATGTTTGTCTCAATGAAATACAGATCGAGTTCGAAGATGGGTTATCTCGGGTCAAAAACTAGGTCACAGGAGCTAAAAATAGAAAAAGCTTGTTAACACTCTAGAGGCTGCAGTTTTCATCCAAATATTCTGGAAATTTGTCAGGAAGGTTGTTTTGATGATATCTAGGTCAAGTTCGAAGATGGGTCATCTCTGGTCAAAAACTAGGTCACGAGCTAAAAATAGAAAAAGCTTGTTAACACTCTAACAATTGGGTTGTTAACAGTCTAGCAGTCACAGTTTTGATTGGATCATCATCAAACTTTGTCAGAATGTTTGTCTCAATGAAATACAGATTGAGTTCGAAGATGGGTTATCTCGGGTCAAAAACTAGGTCACAGGAGCTAAAAATAGAAAAAGCTTGTTAACACTCTAGAGGCTGCAGTTTTCATCCAAATATTCTGGAAATTTGTCAGGAAGGTTGTTTTGATGATATCTAGGTCAAGTTCGAAGATGGGTCATCTCTGGTCAAAAACTAGGTCACGAGCTAAAAATAGAAAAAGCTTGTTAACACTCTAACAATTGGGTTGTTAACAGTCTAGCAGTCACAGTTTTGATTGGATCATCATCAAACTTTGTCAGAATGTTTGTCTCAATGAAATACAGATTGAGTTCGAAGATGGGTTATCTCGGGTCAAAAACTAGGTCACAGGAGCTAAAAATAGAAAAAGCTTGTTAACACTCTAGAGGCTGCAGTTTTCATCCAAATATTCTGGAAATTTGTCAGGAAGGTTGTTTTGATGATATCTAGGTCAAGTTCGAAGATGGGTCATCTCTGGTCAAAAACTAGGTCACGAGCTAAAAATAGAAAAAGCTTGTTAACACTCTAATAATTGGGTTGTTAACAGTCTAGCAGTCACAGTTTTGATTGGATCATCATCAAACTTTGTCAGAATGTTTGTCTCAATGAAATACAGATCGAGTTCGAAGATGGGTTATCTCGGGTCAAAAACTAGGTCACAGGAGCTAAAAATAGAAAAAGCTTGTTAACACTCTAGAGGCTGCAGTTTTCATACAAATATTCTGGAAATTTGTCAGGAAGGTTGTTTTAATGATATCTAGGTCAAGTTCGAAGATGGGTCATCTCCGGTCAAAAACTAGGTCACAGGAGCTAAAAATAGAAAAAGCTTGTTAACACTCTAGTGGCTGCAGTTTTCATCCAAATATTTTGGAAATTTGTCAGGAAGGTTGTTTTGATGATATCTAGGTCAAGTTCGAAGATGGGTCATCTCCGGTCAAAAACTAGGTCACAGGAGCTAAAAATAGAAAAAGCTTGTTAACACTCAAGTGGCCGCAGTTTTCATCCAAATATTCTGGAAATTTGTCAGGAAAGTTGTTTTGATGGTTTCTAGGTCAAGTTCAAAGATGGGTCATCTCCGGTCAAAAACTAGGTCACAGGAGCTAAAAATAGAAAAAGCTTGTTAACACTCTATAGGCTGCAGTTTTCATCCAAATATTCTGGAAATTTGTCAGGAAGGTTGTTTAGATGATATCTAGGTCAAGTTTGAAGATGGATCATGTCTGGTCAAAAACTAGGTCACAGGAGCTAAAAATAGAAAAAGCTTGTTAACACTCTAGTGGCTGCAATTTTCATCCAAATATTTTGGAAATTTGTCAGGAAGGTTGTTTTGATTTTATCTAGGTCAAGTTCGAAGATGGGTCATGTCTGGTCAAAAACTAGGTCACAGGAGCTAAAAATAGAAAAAGCTTGTTAACACTCTATAGGCTGCAGTTTTCATCCAAATATTCTGGAAATTTGTCAGGAAGGTTGTTTAGATAATATCTAGGTCAAGTTTAAAGATGGATCATGTCTGGTCAAAAACTAGGTCACAGGAGCTAAAAATAGAAAAAGCTTGTTAACACTCTAGTGGCTGCAGTTTTCATCCAAATATTCTGGAAATTTGTCAGGAAGGTTGCTTAGATAATATCTAGGTCAAGTTCGAAGATGGGTCATCTCCGGTCAAATACTAGGTCACAGGAGCTAAAAATAGAAAAAGTTTGTTAACACTCAGGTGGCTGCAGTTTTCATCCAAATATTCTGGAAATTTGTCAGGAAGGTTGTTTTGATGATATCTAGGTCAAGTTGGAAGATGGGTAATGTCCGGTCAAAAACTAGGTCACAGGAGCTAAAAATAGCAAAGCTTGTTAACACTCTAGTGGCTGCAGTTCTCATCCAAATATTCTGGAAATTTGTCAGGAAGGTTGTTTTGATGATATCTAGGTCAAGTTGGAAGATGGGTCATGTCCGGTCAAAAACTAGGTCACAGGTGCTAAAAATAGAAAAATCTTGTTAACACTCTAGTGGCTGCAGTTTTCATCCAAATATTTTGGAAATTTGTCAGGAAGGTTGTTTTGATGATTTTCAGGTCAAGTTCGAAGATGGGTTATCACCGGTCAAAAACTAGGTCACAGGAGCTAAAAATAGAAAAAGCTTGTTAACACTCTAGTGGCTGCAGTTTTGATTAAAATATTCTGGAAATTTGTCAGGAAGGTTGTTTTAATGATTTTTAGGTCAAGTTCGAAGATGGGTCATGTCTGGTCAAAAACTAGGTCACAGGAGCTAAAAATAGAAAAAGCTTGTTAACACTCTAATGGTTGCAGTTTTCATCCAAACATTCTGGAAATTTGTCAGAAAGGTTGTTTTGATGATTTCTAGGTCAAGTTCGAAGATGGGTCATCTCAGGTCAAAAACTAGGTCACAGGAGCTAAAAATAGAAAAAGCTTGTTAACACTCTAATGGCTGCAGTTTTCATCTAAATGTTCTGGAAATTTGTCAAGAAGGTTGTTTTGATGATATCTAAGTCAAGTTCGAAGATGGGTCATCTCCGGTCAAAAACTAGGTCACAGGAGCTAAAAATAGAAAAGCTTGTTAACACATTAGGGGCTGCAGTTTTCATCCAAATATTCTGGAAATTTGTCAGGAAGGTTGTTTTGATGATGTCTAGGTCAAGTTCGAAGATGGGTTATCTCCGGTCAAAAACTAGGTCACAGGAGCTAAACATAGAAAAAGTTTGTTAACACTCTAGTGGCTGCAGTATTGATTCAAATATTCTGGAAATTTGTCAGGAAGGTTGTTTTGATGATTTCTAGGTGAAGTTCGAAGATGGGCCATCTCAGGTCAAAAACTAGGTCACAGGAGTTAAAAATAGAAAAAGCTTGTTTACACTCTAGTGGCTGCAGTTTTTATTCAAATATTCAGGAAATTTGTCAAGAATGTTGTTTTGATGTTTTCTGGGTCAAGTGCTAAGATTGGTCATGTTTGGTCAAAAACTAGGTCACAGGAGCTAAAAATAGAAAAATCTTTTTAACACTCTAGTGGCTGCTGTTTTGATCCAAATTTCCTGGAAATTGGTCAGGAAGGTTGTTTTGATGATTTCTAGGTCAAGTTTGAATATGGGTCGTGTCCAGTCAAAAATTAGGTCACATTGCCCAAATATGGAAAAATCTTTATAACACACTAGAGGTCACATGTTTGACTCAGTCGCATCAAACTTGGTCATGATGCTTGTTTAAGACATTGCTTGGATGCGGTTGTATCAGGTGAGCGATCCAGGGCCATCATGGCCCTCTTGTTCTGTTGTTGCGCTAAGGCAAAAGTTTGTGCAAAGAAAGAAAATAAAAAGGTTTGTTTAGAGAATTATCTTATCAGTAATTTAGTTTATTGGAAAAAGTGTATGTGTTTTGGTAGTGTCCAAGTGGTTACGGTTGACAACTTTAAATCACTTGCCACACACCGCTGAAGGTTTAAATCTGGAATCTAACATGTAAGGATGCTATCTATTTAACTTAAGGAAGGTTGGTGGCTCTATTCAAATGCCTGCTTGACACTTCTCAACTATGTCAGCTATGTATCATGTAATTGTATTCTTAGGTACATAGTACTTTCAAGCATTCAATAAAGTAATTTATATCAAACAGCTGGGGATATAAATTAAACTATGTCGGTATTTTGTTCATATAGGATAATTTATTTTGTCCTGTATTAAATATCAAATGGTTGTTCTGATTTTGTAATTTAAATGATCCTCTCCAAAGAAGTGGGTGTATATTGCTTTGTACAGCATCTTTTGGCACATAAATCAGACCTTGTCTGACCAATAACTAAAGAATGCTTTGGCCTCTGGTTGACTAGCAGATGTCCCCTATAGATATTTTAGGTCAAGTGGCCAAAAGACAAGGTTGTTGTGGCCATGACCTCTTAAAGCTTGCTTCATCAATAAATAAAGGAAGCTTTGACTTACAGCCCTAAGATTTAGTGTGAATGTTGGCAATGAGATGTTAATAACCTTATTAATTCTTTTGGCAATTTGTCAAAGGTCACTGTAGTCATGACCACACAATACTTACCTAAGAAATAACTTGGCTTTGGCCTATAGTCCTTAGACTTGGTTGGGAGATTGATCATGACAACATGACCTCTATTGATTTTGAGTTAAGTAGGCTAAAAGGTCAAGGTCACAGTGACCATAACCAAATAAATCATTTTTATTATGCCCCCGCCATGTAATGGCCGGGGCATATAGTGTTACCCTGTTCCGTCCTTCCGTCATTCCGTCCTTCCGTCCTTCCGTCATTCCGTCCTTCCGTCATTCTGTCATTCCGTCATCATCAGTTTCCGTTCATTATCTTAGTAACGGTTGCACATATTCAACTCAAATTTGACATATGGATATGTCATGAGAAAATACAGGTCAAGTTCGAATTTGGTCATGGTTCGATGATTTTTGGCAGAGTTATGCCCCTTTTACTTTGAAAATAATATGAAATTTTCAGTTTCCGTTCATTATCTCCCTAACGGTACAACACATTCAACTCAAATTTGACATATGGATATGTCATGAGAAATACAGGTCAAGTTCGAAATTTGGTCATGGTTCAACGATTTTTGGCAGAGTTATGCCCCTTTTACTTTGAAAAACAATATGAAATTTTCAGTTTCCATTCATTATCTCCCCAACTGTACAACACATTCAACTCAAATTTGACATATGGATATGTCATGAGAAAAATACGGGTCAAGTTCGAATTTGGTTATGATTCGATGATTTTTGGCAGAGTTATGCCCCTTTTACTTTGAAAATAATATGAAATTTTCAGTTTCCGTTCATTATCTCCCCAACGGTACAACACATTCAACTCAAATTTGACATATGGATATGTCATGAGAAAATACGGGTCAAGTTCGAATTTGGTCATGATTCGATGATTTTTGGCAGAGTTATGCCCCTTTTACTTTGAAAATAATATGAAATTTTCAGTTTCCGTTCATTATCTCCCCAACGGTACAACACATTCAAACTCAAATTTGACATATGGATATGTCATGAGAAAATACGGGTCAAGTTCGAATTTGGTCATGATTCGATGATTTTTTGGCAGAGTTATGCCCCTTTTACTTTGAAAATAATATGAAATTTTCAGTTTCCGTTCATTATCTCCCCAACGGTACAACACATTCAACTCAAATTTGACATATGGATATGTCATGAGAAAATACAGGTCAAGTTTGAATTTGGTCATGGTTCGATGATTTTTGGCCGAGTTATGCTCCTTTTACTTTGAAAATAATATGAAATTTTCAAATTTCTGTTTATTATCTCCCCAACAGTACAACACATTCAACTCAAATTTGACATATGGATATTTTTTTTGGAATGCCAAGGTCAAGTTCGAATTTGGTCATGGTTCAATAATTTTTGGCAGATTAATGCCCTTTTCACTTTGAAAAAATATGAAATTTACAGTTTCTGTTCATTATCTACCCAACAGTGTTAAATATTCAACTCAAATTTGACATATGGATATGTCAAAGGAATGGGCAGGTCAAGTTGGAATTAGGTCATGGTTCGATGATTTTTTGGCAGAGTTATGTCCTTTCACTTTGAAAATAATATAGATACATCTTAGGAATAGGCAGTTTAAGTTTGAATTTGGTCGTGGTTCAATGATTTTGGACAAACTTATCTTTCTTGAATATTGGAAAAAATTTTGAACTTTCAGTTTCAGCACTCATACTTTAGTGGAAATGTATGTAGCCATTATTTTGGCTACAAATATGAAATATGCTATTTTCAAAAGGATAAGACTGAATAATTTCAGTGCCTTGAACATTGTATGAAAATGGTTTGTGTTAACATTGAAAAGTTTTAAGGGCTTTGAACTTAAAATGAAAACAATAATTTGTGCAAACAAATTTGGAACTAAATATAATAACATCTGAAATTTTGGCTGCATGCGGGGGCATCCGTGGCATGATGACACATTTCTAGTATTGAAAAATGTGTTTAAACAGGCTCAATCAAACTGAGCCTGCAATATTTTCAATTATGCCGTGTTGGGCTTTCTTTAGGGATTCTGTTTTTCTCTGTTTAATTGTAGATTAAGTAGGCCTTTTCATTTATGTAAAATACAACATTGTGCTTACAATCAATTGCATTTCAGTGAGAGCAGAATATGAATGTAACAGCAACTATGTTAACAGTCTTGTTCTTTACAAATATTACAGATAAGAAGACTATGCAATATTTCCATAATGGGGGTATACAATCATGTGTTACAAAAAATCGTTTGCTCATTGTTAACATTTGCTTTTTATATTGGAATTTAGATGATGCAGAAATTCTGTCTTCAAATGATAACAGAATAAACTACACTGTTGTTATGGAGCGTCATCTTCAGACCAATCCTTCAGGAAAATTTGTGAAAGTTCAATTTATGCTGAGATTGGAAGGTACATCATTTAAAATATTTATGATTCAATGTTGACTTATCCAAACATAAACATATTAGAGGCAGAACATTGTGGTAAAGGGTTTTTCAAAGGTTTTTAAAGTTTCATGTTTTCCCTTGATTGTTAAAAGACCAAGGTCATACATGAATATGTCAGATCTATTTTAGTTGTTATTTTGTCAAAGTATTGAACAAATTCATTCATTTATAACAAAGTTATAGTCAATTTAGCAAATTTCAAGAATTTTACCTTCAAAATGATAATTAATGAAATGATTTTAACAAAATACATTTATATTTGTCCCAACCTGATTAAAATCAGTGTTAAATAATGCTCAGCTTTTAGTTCTGACCATGACCAAATACCATTTCTGGTGACATTTTACACAGTCAATGATCGGCAAGCTTTCATAATTTTGAAAGTGGTGTGGTTTCTAATTTTAATCCTTGAAAAACCTACACTGAATAAGCAATTTTCACGATTTAGCAATTATCTTGCCCATTAAGAATTGACTATTATTTCAAGTTAATTTGTTAAAAATTACTTCAAATATTTTTTTTCTAACAAAAATCAACAATTTGTTTAACTTCCATGGATAATAGTATTTTGGTACAATTTTCTAATGCCTATGTAAAAACTGGTTTAATTGCATGGCTAAAAATAGTTTTCTTGGAAACCTGAATTATAAAGAAGGCCAAACATATACAGTCGTCATTAGATCTACATAAAAGAAGTTCAGATTGTATTTTGGCCTTTATAATTTAAACTTGGCAAAAACCCACATTTTCCAAGTTCAAGATTACAAACTTTACATGTTTGTTGTAATATAGATTTCAACATCTTTTATCTGTTACAGCTGGAAGTATGAATTGCCCAACACAATGGCTATTACTAATTGGATGTGGTACCACACAGAAAGACTTGGAAAAGGCTGTTCTTGAGATG